TGAAAAAAGTGAACTTACAAGTCCAGGAAGCAGAGAGTCCCAAACAAAAGGAACCCAAAGAGGCCCACACCAAGACACATCATAATTAAAATGCCAAGGCTTAAAGACAAAGAGAGAATCTTAAAAGCAGCAAGAGAAAAGCAGTTAGTGACTTATAAGGAAGTTCCCATATGACTGTCAGCTGATTTCTCAACAGAAATTTTGCAGGCCAGAAGGGAGTGGCAAGAAATATTCAAAGCGATAAACAGCAAGGACCTACAACAAAGATTACTCTACCCAGCAAAGCTCTCATTTAGAATTGAAGGTCAGAAAGAGCTTCACAGACAAGAAAAAGCTAAAGAAGAGGGTAGGTGTGGCTGGGAGAGGTCAATCAGGGGGGAGAAGAGACATATTTAATACTTTAATCAATAAAGAATAAAAATTTTAAAAAAGGAAAAGCTAAAGGAGTTCATTATCACCAAACCAGTATTACATGAAATGTTGAAAGGTCTTTTTTAAGAAGAGAAAGAAGGAGGAGGAGGAGAATGAGGAAGAGGTAAAGGGGGAGAAGGAGGAGGAGAAGGCAGAAAGATAAAAAATATGAACACACACAAAAAAAAGAAAAAAGATATGAACAATATGGCAATAAATACATATCTATAACAATTGAATCTAAAAATCAAAATAAAGGAACAAGAAACCTAATGAACAAAACAAGGAATCTATCTATATAAAACCTAAGCAACTGGTCAACCGGTCGCTATGATGTGCACTGACCAACAGGGGGCAGTCAACTTAGCCAAAAAGAGAAACAGGCGATTGAGTCTATGAAAGATTGCAAGCAGGTGGGGCTGAGCTGCAGTTCACATTGGGAGGCCAGGCCATCGGCCCAAATTCCACCATTCCAGAGGCATGGCGCCCCCGGCCCCCATCAACCCCTCTGGCCATATCCTCCCTGAGGCAGCCGGGACTGAGGGACAGAGGGAGGGAAAAAAGAGACCATGAACTCTGTCCCTAATGCCTGCCTCCTCCTATCAGACCGGAGCCATCCCAGGACTTGCAGGATGGTATGCGAAGTGGGCAGCCTTGCCATACAGCAACCATGGCTCCCTGGTCTGCCCAGGGTACCCCTCAGGCACTCACCCCACTTCTCCAAGCCTCAATCTGCACCGCTAGTGAGGCCGAGGGAGCTCTGCCCTAGGGACTCACTTCTCCATAGCTGGGTGTGACAGACCAGGAGATGCAAGGGGCGGCAGTGGAAGACAAGGGCAGACGCTCAGCTGACCGGAAGGAGCGGGAGCGGCTCCTCCCTGGCCGCCTGCAGCTCCGCGCACTACTATATCCCTTGGGAGATGTTGGATGCCAGTTTCAGCCTGATCCCCACAGGCCACACGGAGGGACCCCACCAGTGCATGAATCCATGCACCGGGCCTCTAGTCAGATGAATAAAATAGAACCAGAGGCATGGAACCATGGAACTGACCGATGAATCTCAGAGGGGGTGGGGCGGGAAGAGGTTAACAAAGAACTTATATGCATACTAGAGGCCCGGTGCACAAAAATTTGTGCACGGGGTGGGGGGTCCCCTCAGCCCGGCCTGTGCCCTCTCGCAGTCTAGGACCCCTCGTGGGATGACCACCTGCTGGTTTGGGCCCACTCCCCGGGGGATTGGGCCTAAGCTGGCAATCAGACATCCCTCTGGCAGCCCGGGAGCCCTCGGGGGATGTCCACTTGCCAGCAGGGAGCAGACCTAAGCTGCAGTTGGACATCCTTAGTGCTGCTGAGGAGGCGGGAGAGGCTACCACCACCACTGCTGTACTGGCAGCCATCAGCCTGGCTTGTGGCTGAGCACAGCTCCCCCCGTGGGAGCGCACTGACCACCAGGGGGCAGCTCCTACATTGAGCATCTGCCCCCTGGTGGTCAGTGTGTGTCATAGTGACCAGTCATTCCCAGTCATTGTGCTGTTAGGGTCAGTTTGCATATTACCCTTTTACTATATAGGATAGAGGCCTGGTGCCCAGGTGGGGGCCGGCTGGTTTGCCCTGAAGGGTGTCCCAGATCAGGGTGGGGGTCCCGCTGGGGTGCCTGGCCAGTCTGGGTGAGGGGCTGATGGCTGTTTGCAGCTGGTCACATCCCCTTCAGGGTGGGGGTCCCCACTGGGGTGCCTGGCCAGTCTGGATGAAGGGCTGAGGGCCGTTTTCAGGCTGGTCACACCCCCTTCAGGGTGGGGGTCCCCACTGGGGTGCCTGGCCAGCCTGGGTGAGGAGCTGATGGCTGTTTGCAGCTGGTCACACCCCCTTCAGGGTGGGGGTCCCCACTGGGGTGCCTGGCCAGTCTGGGTGAAGGGCTGAGGGCCGTTTTCAGCCTGGCCAAGCCTCCCCAGTGACAGAAGCTCCCAGCCTCTCCTTTTTTTCTGGGATTTATTTACCTTCTATAATTGAAACTTTGTAGCTTGGGGCCAGGGCTTGGCTTCCTCCATCACCAGGGGCAACCCAAGTCTCCAGCTCCGTGGCCACTGCTGGCTGAAAGCAGGTTTCTGGGTTTGTTTAGCTTCTATAATTGCAACATTGTTGCTTAGACTGGAGCTCAGAGCTGGGCCATGACAGGCGGGGAACCTTGGCTTCCTTCATCATTGGAGCAAGCAAACCTCCTGCTCACTTCAGCTGCGTGGCTGCCGGCCGCCATCTTGGTTGGATTAATATGCATATCCTGCTGATTAGCCAATGGGAAGCATAGCGGAGATATGGTCAATTACCATGTTTGTCTATTATTAGGTAAGATATGCATTACCCATGGACACAGACAATAGGGTGGTGAAGGCCTGGGGCAGGGCGGGAACTGGGTGGAGGGGGATAATGGGGGGAAAAGAGGGGCATGTGTAATAATCTCAACAATAAAGATTTTAAAAATCAATAAGTAAAACTGTAAATGTCTGACCCTGACTAGTGTGCTCAGTGGTTAGAGTGATGGCCTATTGGACCAAGGGTTCAATTCCTGCTCAAGGGCACATACCTGGCTTGCAGTTTCAATCCGTGGCCCAGGTTGGGGCGTTGCAGGAGGCAACCAATCAATGTGTCTCTCTCACATCAGTGTTTCTCTCTCTCTTTGTCTCTCTCTCTCCCTCCTTCCCATCCACTCTCTCTAAAAAGAATCAATAAAAAAATTTCCTCAGGTCAGGGTTAACAAAAATAATAATAAATAAAATAACAGTAAGTGTCTGAGGGGGGGCGGGGTTGTCAGGCAGATCAGACAGGTGGTGACAGGCATGTCCTGGTCAGACCCGAGAGGAGGCTCGCTGGCACTGACCTTGACCTCTGGACAGATTCATTAAGGAGGATCAGCGTGAACAAGGCTCAGAGGGTGGATGATTGGGGGAAGGGTCCAATGGGGGAAGGTTTTATTGGGGCGGAGAGTCTAGGTCACTTGGACAAAGGCCAGGGCTCATCTAGGCACTGCGGGTGGTGCTCCTGGGTGGAACCTGAGCTGGATAGCTGGCTGCCCTGTGAGGGAACCAGGAGGGTGCTGGCGGCGTACAGTGAGCTGGCTGTGCACAGCGGGTGAAGCGGCGTTTCGGACACTGAGTCGAGCCCTGCGACCGTCCTGGCTGCTGGGGACTCTGGGAGCCCAGAAGAATCAGGTCTTGGCGGAGCAGGGGGGTCGGAGTCTCTGGTTCTGCTGGTTTTGCTTTTGTGTTTTGTTAACACCACCCGCTGTTTAATATTTTGCACGCGCGCAAGCAGCTCAGTATCTTAGATGCATCACACCCAGTGGGTTCAGCAAAGGAGGCCAATTACCGGGGAAATGACTTCTGTGCGTGGAGAGCCTGTCCCTGGCTCCCGCCCTGGAGTGAGCACACATGACTGACAAACGCCCACTAACATCTGCGGGAATGCGTGGGCCTCGGGGTCAGGGCGGGTCCCCCATCCCTTCTGTGCATTGTTAGCATGTGCCCCAGGGAACGACAGCTTCATGAAATGACAGCCATCTGTCTGCTCAGGTGGCAGGAGACACGCCTGCCTGCCCGCCCGCAGCCACCGCTCATGCTGCCACGTCCCGGGGTCCCTGCCACCCCTCCTCCCTGAGGCGCTCTCTGAACTGACGGCCTCAGCATGACTCCGAGGGGACACACGAAATGGTTTCAAGCAGTGCGCTGTAGACTTCAGTGGGATAATCCTCTATGATAAAAGCGTAGTATGCAAACTGTCTGTTCGACCAGGGGCAGGGCCGGCCCGGGGAAGTGAGGGAGGCCCGAGCCGGCAGCCGGCAGCCACTAGGGACCCTACCAGTGCACGCATTTCGCATCTCGTGCACTGGGCCTCTAGTCTCAAATAATATTGCAACATCGTATCTGTTTGTAGCCAGTGGTTCTCTGAGAAAAAGAAAGTGGCTTTCATTGCAAACATTTACTGAGGCGCCTTCCCAGGCTGCAGTGTGTCCGCGGTTGGGTGAATCCTGGCTCTTTAACCTTCCACGTGGTGTCCCCGTGGGACATGAGCTGTTTTGTGCAGCGGTACACGTCCCTTCACTGGCAGCATCCTCCTGTTTCCCAGCCCAGACCCTGCTCCCAAACCTCCCGACAACCCAGTCCAGAGCCCCGCCCTCTGTGCTGCGCTCCCCAGGCAGACACGCCTGCTCCCAGCTGCCCCTCCTGACCTGCATAAGCCCCGTCCCCTTCAGCGTGGCGCAGGGAGCCTCCCTGAGGCTTGAGCCCCACTCGCTTCCTCCCGGCTGGACACGGTTTCCGTCCAGTATCTGGTAGTTGACCAGACCTGTCTGCCCTGTGCCTGGCTCTCCTGGTCCTGTCCTGACAGAGGGGGGCGGCGGCCTGGGCTGAGTCTGCACAGACAGACCCCTCTGACCCAGCCAAGAGTGCGAGCTCCGTGTCTGCACGTGCGCCTGGCAGCCTTGCCCTTCCAACTGGGCCTGGTGGGGGCCTGCGCCCTGACTGTGCACACAGGGGATGTGGGCTCCAGCGCCCGGTGCCCCGTGTCACATGCCCTGACTCTGGTTCCCATTGCAGGCCTACATGGAGGACCACCTGAGGAACAAGAACCGGCTGGAGAAGGAGTGGGAGGCGCTGTGCGCGTACCAGGCGGAGCCCAACAGCTCGCTCGTGGCCCAGAGGGAGGAGAACGCGCCCAAGAACCGCTGCCCAGCAGTGCTGGCCTGTACGTACCGCGGGGGCGCCACCGGGAAGGGTGGGACAGGCTGTACCTCTGTCCTCATAGGCCCCCATGCCATTCTCATGGCTGGGAAGCCCCTCTCCTTCCCCACCCCCACCCTGCACCCTCTGCGGCAACCTGTCCCCCAGTGTGGACGCCCCCGTGAGGCTGTCCCAGCCTAAAAACGCAGAATCCATGTCTGTCTTGGGGTCCGAGCACAGTCCTAAAACCCCAGTGGGGACAGAGGTGCCCGCTGCCTGCGCTGTCAGGCGGCTGTCATGGTGCCATTGGAGACTTGCTGCTACGCCCTCAGAGCCTCTTCCTCTGCAGCTGGGAGCATGCGGTCGCCCTGGCAACCTGGCACTGTGAGGGTTGGAGGGGATGAGCGTGGTGCCGGCCGTGGGCCTGGGGTGAGCAGCCGTCACCAAGGCAGCATCCACTGTGGACTGCTACCTGGCCAGGAACCACTGCCAGTGGAAAAGCAGAAAGAAACGTCCAACCAACAGTTATTTATTAAGCACCTACTATGTGCCAGGGACTCGTGACAGAGACACCGGTGAGCCACGTGCTCAGGACCAGATGGGGGGCAGTTGGGAACAAGCAGACCTCAGGGGCACTCGCTGCACGTCCCCGAGGTCAGGTGCAGGCTGGGCCGGCAGGTCTTGTGGGTGTTAGCCCAGCGCCTTTCCCGAGCACCCTCCCCCGTGGGACCCAGACACGGCGGCGGAGGGCGGTGGGCAGGCTCAGGGCCAGCAGCAGTCCAGTCCTCGGCCACACAGGGACCAGGTCCGGCTGTGGCAACGCCCCCTCTGACCAGAGCCGGAGCCAGGAGCCACCTTCTTCCTGGGACTTGGGTACTGGGAATTGGAAAGGCCACGGTGCTGACCCGGCCATCTGCAGCTGGGCGGCCCACCATGGGGCGTGAGGAGCACGCTGGTGGGTGGGAAGGGCGGTGGGGGCAGCGAGTCCACACTGCTGGGTCGAGTGGATAAGGTCCCCCGAGCACAGGCGCATCCCTCCTCCGTTCACAGTCGCCTCCTCCACGGGAGGGAGACCCATCAGGATTGACCTGTACCCTTCAGAGCGGGGACCTGGGGGGCGTCTCTCAAATGCTGGCTGGTCCTGCCACGTCCACGCGGGAGAGCCTTGGAGTGAGTGGATGGGACCGGCCTTGGGGAAGACGCCCAGAGACGCACGCGGCCTCAGACGGCGGTGCCCCCTCATGGGTCTTCTCGTCCATCAGGTGTGAGTTTTCGTTGAGCAGTGGGCGTGCCACTGTTGGCTCGCTGAACTCCGGTCTTCCTGCTGTGAGCCCGACGTGGGCCAGACCCTCCCCGGCTGCACCAGAGCTCGGCTGTGCCGTCCTGCCGTGCACTACCTGGAAGGTTTTCATCCCCCGTTCCCAGCTCCTCCCCCTCCGCGCTTTGCAGCCGCACATTCTATAAGCACAGTTACACCTTCAAGTCATTGATAAAACCCTCGACAGAGTAACCACGGGCGGGGCCGGGAGCAATGTTTGGTGGCCGTCCCGGCAGCCGGGCTCTGCGTCCTCGAGGCCCTGGCCACCCTGCGGGTGCTCGCCAGGTGCAGCCACCAGGCGCGGAGAGCAATGCCACCGGCAGCGTCCCTTCCCCCCAACCCTGGGCAGCGTGGAATGTCTCCACATCAGTGCAGGCCGCCCTCCTGACCCCAGAGGATCTGACACCGGGACCCGCGTGGGCCCCTCCCAGAGCCCTTTGCAGACGAGAAATGCCGCTGGCTTGGCACAGCCCTCACTCTGCCGTGCTGACATTCACAAACACTCGGGCTGCACCACAACCCACGTCAACTGCACACCCGCTACCTGGACTCCACAACGGCTCCTCGGTGGTGGGCCGTTTTTGCATGGTGTGTGTGGGAGTGTGTGCGTGTGTGGGGGAGTAAATCTGTGTGTGACAGTGAGTGTGTGAGTGTGTGGGTGTGAGTGTGTGTGTGACAGTGAGTGGGTGTGAGTGTGTGAGTGTGTGAGCATGTGTGTGAGAGTGAGTGAGTGTGAGTGTGTGGGTGTGAGTGTGGGAGTGGGAGCATGTGTGTGTGTGACAGTGAGTGTGTGAGTGTGTGCTTTATTTGTTGTTGGAATTGCCTCACAGTGAGTTCCAGGCATCATGCCATCTCACCACTGCAGCCTGCGTCTCCTAAAAACGAGGACGGTGCCGCACCCTCGCAGCCCCCATGTTAGGACTAAGGACATTCGCAATCGTCTCTAACATCCTGTTTCAATCCACCGATGCTCCCAGAATTCCAGTGATGTCCTCACCACAACTTTTGGTGTGTGTTTCTTTAACCAGACGCAGGCACATTTGTAGCTGTAGTTTGGATGTTCCACTTTATAATGTACTTGGTTTTACACTCGCCTTTGCTTTCTGAGGTGACCTCCCAGGGGCCATCTCACTGGCCCAGTCCCAGACCTACTACACGCCATGTTCTAGCCACACCCCTGCCACAGAGGCTCGGCCCTGTCCGCACCCGCCTCGGCCAGCGTGACCAGTGCCTCGTGGCCTCAGGGGGAAGACCGTGTCCGCCGTTCCCACTCACCTGCCCGGTGACCAGAACCTCGACAGCGACTGCTGCCCTCCCGTCTACCAACTCCACCTCCTCTCTTCCTTGGAGGTGGAGGCGCGGAATGCTACCTGTTGGAATGCTCTGTCTGTAGGACGAGAGGTGTGCACCTGCTGAGAGCTTTTGGTTGAAATAGACACAGGACAGATGCTCCTGTGGCCCCGCCGTCTGCACCAGCAGCCTCTCAGAGGCTTTTCTGGGGGGCAGCGCAGAGGGCGGCACCAGGAAGCCACGGGCTGTCCAGCAGCTGGACACGGGCCTCAGCACCGCAGTGCTTGCTAACCTGGCTGAGGAGGGTGTCAGAGGGGCACCCACTCTGCCATGGGCAGCAGGAACGGGTCCCAGAGCTCCTGTGGGACTCTCAGTCTCTGGCGGGCGGCGCTGTGTCAGTTTGCTGGGTGTGGCGGCAAAACAACGGCCTTCGAGATGCCCTCGTCCCAACCCTTAGAATCGTGACTACATTACCTGATGTGGCAAAGGCTCGCATTCCACATGCCCTCACAGGAGAGCGTCATCCTGGATTACCCCGGTGACCATGCACGAGGGAGGCAGACGCGCTGCGAGGAGAAGCCACAGGGCCCAGAAGGCCGGGCAGCACCTGGAAGCCAGGGCCCAGGCCCTCCGCCCCCCAGTCTCCAGGGGAGCCAGCCCCACCGACACCTGGGCTAAAAGACAGCGCTGCCCACTATAAACAGTGGTGTCTACGGCGCTGGGTGTGTGGACGCTCCCTCCAGCAGCCACAGAACCCACACACCCCGAGGCCGAGGACGCACTGGTCAGTGTGAGCTGGCCAGTCACGCGTGCCCCCAGGATCCGTCACACACCATCGTCTCTGCCACAGTGACGGGAAACCGTCTGCAATGAAAACATCTCTTTAGCTTCTCAGAATCCAGAAACAAACATAATATAAAAATGTATCGCTTCGCCCTGGCCGGGAGGCTCGGCGGGTTGCGTGTTGTCCGGGGCACTAAATGGTCACTGGCTGGATTCCCTGCCAGGGCACATGCCCAGCTTTCGGGTTGGGTTCCCAGCCAGAGTACCTGCGGGAGGCAACCGGATGTTTCTCACCTCAATGTTTCTCTCTCCCTCTCCCTTCCTCTCTAAAATCAATTAAAAACACGTTTTTAAATTCATTGCTCTGCATCAACTACAAGTCCCAATCAGTAAAGGCATTTCTGTGTGTGTTGGCGGAACACTTAGGCCGCCGTCTGGCCTCACTGCAGAGCCGATGGTGTGGGAGAGCCTTGGATGTGGGCTTGCAGAGCAGAAGCCGCCCATGGACCTGCGACCCCCACGCAGGAACTGTGGTCCCAATGCCGTGGGCTTATCCCAGGGCACGGTCTACATGAGCGACTCGGAACTGACCCTCCAGACACGCCCCGGCCCGTCCCCTGATACACACCACACCTCCACGGCCACAGCTGCAAAGCACAGCCAGCGGCGTCCAGCCAGCATGATGGTTTCATCTAAATCGCAAAGGAACATTGCGACGGTGAGAGTCCTGGCTGACCACTGGACGGCCATGATCCCGCGGACTCCCGACCCCTCAGCACACCAAGGTCTGCACCTTCTAGTGAAGGACCCACACCATCACGCACTGGGTCAGTGAGTCACTCACCAGCTGTGGGGAACTGTCTGTAGAGATCCTTGGTATCTGTGGCTACAGAGGCCTGGCACCCTCTCCGCAGGTGGGCTCCGGCGGCTCGTGTGGCGCATGGGACAGGCCTGCCGGTGTGGGTCCGCTGACCGAGCTGCAGCGACCCCCACAGGACCCTCGCTTGTCTACCTGCAGGGTTCTGTGCCCTCTCATCGCACACAGTATCTCCTGTTGGCATTTATGAAAACCATCTTCTACTTCGTGGCAACGCCATGCGTCCACCGTTCTAGATACGTGTGTCAGTTCTGTGGGCTTTTCACCGGTGAGGTGTGTGCACCTATAATCTTGACTTTGTCCGTAAGCCCCTTGCTACATGATTACAGTGCCTGCTTTATACACACCATTTGCCACAACATGCCTGTGAGTTCAACATCAGTATCCCACACTTTGGATGACAAATCCGACACTTTAAAATATTGAATAATTGACCCAGACATCCCCTGGCTGCCAGGTGCAGGATTGGACCTCAAACCTGGGCTCCTGGCTGTTGGCCATGTGGCCTCTATCAAGTCATTCACTGGGTGTTTCTGGGCCTTAGTTTTTCAGCTTAAAATGGGAGAATAGTTCCCATTCTGTCTATGGCATGGTGTGGTGGGAAGCAGGCAGGTGATATATGTGAGTTCTGTTTAGAACAGACAGAATGCAGGAGAAATTAGAAATATTGTTCTTGCAGCAGGCATTGGTGCGGGGTAAATGACCAGGAGTTCATTCAAGCTTCTTTTTTTTAAGAATATGTTTTTATTGAGATACTAGAGGCTTCGTACACAAAATTAGTACATGGGGGGAGAGGTGTCCCTCAATCTGGCCTGCACCCTCTCCAATCTGGGACCCCTCGGGGGATGTCTGACTGCTGGTTTAGGCCCGATACCTGTGGACATCCCTCTCACAATATGGGACCACTTGCTCCTAACCGCTCACCTGCCTGCCTGCCTGATTGCCCCCAACTGCCCTCCCCTGCCGGCCTGATTGCCCACAACTGCCCTCCCCTGGAAGAAGAACCAAGTTGGCGGCATAAGTAAACACCTGCACTTGCTGCCTCTCACAACCACATCAAAACTACAACTAAAACACAAAACATCAATGATCCAAAACCAAGGGAAAGCTGGCTGAGTGGAAGTTCTACAACTAGAAGGAAAGAAAAAAGCGCATTGAGACTGGTAAGAGGTGTGGAGTTGTGGAGACGCTCACGAAACAGGCTGGGAACTGGCTGCACTATTGGTTTTTTTTTTCAATCAGGAGGGAAATACAAGCTTCTGATTGCTCTGAACTCCAGTTCCGGGGGAGACTCTGGGGACCCAGACTCATACGGGGAGAAACTGGACTGTCTGGCATCGGGCCGGAACATGAGGGCGGCTTTCTCTCAGAGGTACTCACAGCGATCATCGTTCCTGCGCAGAGGTGCGGAACACGGAGACACAGGGACCTCTCTGATGCAGGGCTGACTGGCAGCCATTGCTGTTTGCTCTGCCCTGGTGATTCCCCAAGACCCCGCCCCACCCAATTTACAACCCCACCCAAGCTGTGCACAGCAGCTTTTGCATATGAATGGCCAGTCCTTTCACAGCATAAAACCTAATAAACTGCAGCTGGGTCAGAGAGCTCCAAAGCTTCCAAAAGAAGGTCCAAGGCTCAGCAGCAGCATCCGGCCTTGCTTCGCAGCTGGGCCTCACCTGGGCACTTCCAAATCCCAAACAAAGAGGAGGAATCTGCAGATCTCTCTGTAGCTCCTGCTGGGTGGCCTCAGGCAGTGGCTGACTTTGCACCTCCTTAGAGATCCAAGAGCCAGTGTACCCAGTGGTCAGTGTGAGACCATACCAGATTACAACTCTTCACATCCATAAGCGACACACTCAAGGGGCAGACTCAGTGAGGACCAAAGCCCCACTGAAGCAAGTCCTGCCCCATAAGGGTGTCTCCAGCACAGCAGTTCTTCCATTGTAGACACAGGTGGTCCTCACAGCCAATTGGCCTGGAGGTCAATTCCTCCCAGTGACACCAACAGCAATCAAGGCTTAACTACAACAGGACTGTGTACCTAGCCCACAAAGGGGTGTAACTAGAGTGTCCACCTCAGGTGACTGGGGAGGTAGAGACACTGGGCCCTATAGGACACCTACCACACAAGGCCACTCTATCAACACAAGGAAGCAGCCAAAATGTGGAGACAAAGAAACATGTTATAAATGAAAGAAATGGAGGAAAGCAAACTACTGGATATAGAGTTCAAAACCACGGTTATAAGGTTACTCAAGAATTTTCTGGAGATTCCGACCAAGATGGCGGCATAGGTAAACACCGGAGACTGCTGCCGCAAACAACCACTTCAAAAATACAACTAAAAGACGGAACGGACATCACCCAGAACCACAGGAAGGCTGGCTGAGGAGAGACTCTTCAACTAGAAGGAAAGACAACAGCATTCCGAGGCTCAGAGGAGGCGCAGTGTGGAAAATTTAAAGGTATGGAGGTGCGCGCGCAAAGCGGGCTGGTGGCTGAGGGCGCGGTTGTCGTTTTCAATCAGGAGGGAGTCTCAGACTCTGAGCTCCAGATCTGGGCGAGTCTCTAGGGACCCAGACTCAAACGGGAGAAGCAGGACTGTCTGGCTACGGTCCCTCCAAGGTTTGCAGCGGTTGCTGGGACAGAGAGGCAGAGCCCCTGGGGACGGACTGAGAGCAGCCATAACTGCTCCCTCTGCCCCCCCTGTTGATCCCACCCCGCCCAAGCCCTGTGCAGAGCCATTTGCCGGATCGCCTCAGGCAAAGGCTAGATTAGCACCTCCCCAGAGGACAGAAGTTTTCCCACAGCTGATTCCCACAGCCAGTCGGCCTGGTGGTCAAATCCCTCTAGTATTAACTACAACAATCAAGGCTTAACTAGAACAAGACTGCGCACAAAGACCACAAGGGGGTGCACCAAGAAAGCATAAAAAAATGCGGAGACAAAAAAACATGACAGAAATGGAGGATATAGAGCTAAAAAACGCAATTTTGAGGGCTTGCAATAAACTTGAGGAGAGCCTCACGAAAACTAATGAGACCCTCGATGCTATGATAAAGAAACTAGAAATTAAGCATACACGGACTGAAATAAAGAATATTATACCCAATAGCAGACCAGAGGAGCACAAGAATCAAGCCAAAGATTTGAAATGCGAAGAAGCAAAAAACACCCAACTGGAAAAGCAAAATGAAAAAAGAATCTGAAAGTGTGAAGATAGTGTAAGGAGCCTCTGGGACAGCTTCAAGCGCACTAATATCAGAATTATAGGAGTGCCAGAAGATGAGAGACAGCAAGATATTGAAAACCTATTTGAAGAAATAATGGCAGAAAACTTCCCCCACCTGGTGAAAGAAATGGACTTACAGGTCCAAGAAGTGCAGAGAACCCCAAACAAAAGGAATCCAAAGAGGACCACACCAAGACACATCATAATTAAAATGCCAAGAGCAAAAGACAAAGAGAGAATCTTAAAAGCAGCAAGAGAAAGAGACTCAATTACCTACAAGGGAATACTGTCAGCTGATTTCTCAACAGAAACTTTGCAGGCCAGAAGGGAATGGCAAGAAATATTCAAAGTGATGAATACCAAGAACCTACAACCAAGATTACTTTATCCAGCAAAGCTATCATTCAGAATTGAAGGTCAGATAAAGAGCTTCACAGATAAGGAAAAGCTAAAGGAGTTCATCACCACTAAACCAGTATTATACGAAATGCTGAAAGGTATCCTTTAAGAAGAGGAAGAAGAAAAAGGTAAAGATACAAATTGTGAACAACAAACATGCATCTATCAACAAGTGAATCTAAGAATCAAGTGAATAAATAATCTGATGTACAGAATGAACTGGTGATTATAATGAATCAGGGACATAGAAAGGGAATGGACAGACTATTCTTGGGGGGGAAAGGGGAATGGGAGATGCGGGAAGAGACTGGACAAAAATCGTGCACCTATGGATGAGGACAGTGGGTGGGGAGTGAGGGCGGGGAGGGTGGGGCGGGAACTGGAAGGAGGGGAGTTATGGGGGGGGAGAGGAACAAATGTAATCTGAACAATAAAGATTTAATAAAAAAAAAAAGAATTTTCTGGAAACCTCCAAGAAATTTAGTGAGACCCTCAAGGATATGAAAAAGGACCAATCAGAAATTAAGCATACACTGACTGAAATAAAGAATAATATACAGAGATCCAACAGCAGACTAGAGGATCACAAGAATCAAGGCAAAGATTTGAAATACGAAGAAGCAAAAAACACCCAACTGGAAAAGCAAAAAGAAAAAAGAATCCAAAAACATGAAGATAGTGTAAGGAGCCTCTGGGACAACTTCAAGCGTACCAAAATCCGAATTATGGGGATGCCAGAAGAAGAGAGACAGCAAGATATTGAAAACCTATTTGAAGAAATAATGACAGAAAATTTCCCCTACCTGGTGAAAGAAATAGACTTACAAGTCCAGGAAGCGCAGAGAACCCCAAACAAGAGGAATCCAAAGAGAACCACACCAAGACACATCATAATTAAAATGCCAAGGGCAAAAGACAGAGAGAATCCTAAAAGCAGCAAGAGAAAAACAGTTAGTTACCTACAAGGGAGTACCCACACGACTGTCAGCTGATTTCTCAACAGAAACTATGCAGGCCAGAAGGGAGTGGCAAGAAATATTCAAAGTGATGAGTAGCAAGAACCTACAACCAAGATTACTCTACCCAGCAAAGCTATCATTCAGAATTGAAGGTCAGATAAAGAGCTTCACAGATAAGAAAAAGCTAAAGGAGTTCATCACCACCAAACCAGGATTATATGAAATGCTGAAGGGCATTCTTTAAGAAGAGGAAGCGGAAGAAAACGGTAAAGATAAAAATTATGAACAACAAAGTGACAATGAATACATATCTATCAACAAGTGAATCTAAAAATCAAGTGAATAAAAAATCTGATGAACAGAATAAACTGGTGAATATAATAGAATCAGGGACATAGAAAGGGAGTAGACTGAAAATTCTCGGGGGAAAGGGGGTGTGGGAGTGCGGGAAGAGACTGGACAAAAATCTTACACCTATGGACGAGGATGTTAGGGGGCGGGGTAAGGGCATGGGGTGGGGTGGGAACCGGGTGGAGGGGAGCTATAAGGCCGGGGGGAGAGGAACATCTGTAATAATCTGAACAATAAAGATTTATTTAAATAAATAAATAAATAAAACGAAATTCTATCACCTCGAGGATTTAGCTGTTTGTAGATGACAAAGCTTGAGGTATTGAGTGGTGCCTGATAGCTTCCTCTGCATGTCGACATTTATTTACTGTGTTGCTGAACATGTGTAAAGGTCAACTCTATAAATGTCGCAAATAACCTTGGTGTCTCCAGGTTGTACCAGATGGGACAGAGTCAGGTCCTCGAACAGCCTGAATCTCCTCTACAGACGGTGACGGGAGTAAATGGGGAGAAGGGGCAGAGCACCCTGAGCTCCGTGGGAAGGGCTGAGCACTCGGAGGGGACGCCGCCTGCAGAGGACAGCCACAGGGCCCTCGCGGCATCGCTGCGTGCGCACTCCTGGGCGGTGTGGGCTGGCACAGACCTGACTCTCTGCTCTGGACCTTTGCAGATGACCACTCCCGGATCCTGCTGAAGCCGGAAAACAGCCACAGCAACTCGGACTACATCAACGCCAGCCCCATTGTAAGTACTGTCCCCACGGAGGGCGCCAGCCTTTCCCAGGGCACCACGTGGGCAAGCCACGTGAGGTTGGCATGGAAAACATGCCCTGCCCTGCTCCCAGTAGAGCTGATAATTAGCCTCAACTGGGTAACTAGCCTCAACCAGTAACCAGCCTTAATCAGGTAACTGGTCTCTACCAGGTAACCAGTCTTAGCCAGGTAATTAGTTTCAACCAGTAACCAATAAGTAGTCTCTACCATGTAACTAGTCTCCACCAGGAACCAGCTTTAACCAGATAACTAGTCTCCACCAGATAACTAGCCTCAACCAGGAACCAGCCTTAACCAGTTAACTAGTCTCAACTGGGTTCTTAGTCTCAACCAGTAATTAGCCCTAACCAGGTAACTAGTCTCAGCCAGGTTACTAGTCTCAACGAAGTAACTAGTCTCATTCAGCAACCAGCCTTACCCAGTGGCCAGGTGACTGTGTCCTGGGCAGGGAGCAGTGACCGGGAGGGCCAGCGCCAGTGGCCTGAAGGTTTACCCTTTCCCAGGCCCACTTGTGCCCGATTCATTCCGGGGAAAAGGGAAAATTAGAGCCACGCCTGGCACTAGTGAAAGTGATCCCCGGCACTTGGCTGTCTGGAGGGGTGCAGGGTGCTGTGCCCTCTGGGAGGTGGAGCTGGGGACCAGACAAGGGAAAGGGGTCTCTGTCACCCCCTGACCCCTCACTGTCAGGTCCCCGAGGCCAGCCCACCCTCTCAGCTTCTGGGGAGGTCCTCCCGCCCACAGCTGCCTGGGCTCGTCCTGCCTCCTGTCTCACTGCGTGCGGCCCCTGCGGTCCTCTTGCCCTGGGCAGGGGGGCAGGGGCTGGGGGTCTGCAGCCACGGGGAGAGGGCTGTGTGCCTGCAAGCAGAGGCCACAGGAGTGCGGTCGAGGGCATTTAAGCCGGCAGCAGAGAAGGGCTTGGTGTGGGTTTATGAGGGTGAGGGGCTGAGGTGGCCTCGATGTAGACATGTTTCTCCATGTTGGTCTTAGGGGAGGTGTCCAGACGTCTCCCCGAAATCATGACTTGCATCCAGTCAAGGACTGTGTGTGGGGTGCTGCACCAGCTGCTATTCCAAGGCAATGACTTTAC